AGGAAAATTATTAGAAATGAACTCCAATTATAGACAAACATGGTGTAAACCCAAGCGATCAAGACAAAGCAAATACAAGGACAAAAAATAAATAAATTATAAATTTGTAGGATTAAAGAATAGAACTTTGAAAAACTTTGGAACACACACACAAATATAATAATATATATATATTATAATATATATATATATATATTATTATAATATATATTATATGGTGTGTGTGGTGTTGGTTGTGTCACATCACATAAATATATATAGATATTTAATGTATTTGTGAAGTGAAGGGATTAAATACATCCACCAAACATCATCTATATATCTTCTTACTTGAAGTAGACCTGGGATGTCACTATTTGATGTCATATCTTTTTTACAAGAGTGTGAAGGTTTACAGTTTTCCAAATTTAGCAATAATATATCAAATTAAAGCTCTATCTATCTATTTTCAATGCATCAATCTGTTCATCAATCGAAATTTATTGAGCAAAGTTATAGTCAATTTATTACTGACTGTTCAGTGGAAACCGAGATTGATATCATATCATTTTTTCCAAAATGTGAAGGGTCTACAGTTATCCAAGTTCAGTATATAATATATCACATTAAGCTCTATCTGTCTAGTTTTAATGCTTCAATCTGTTCATCAATTAAACTTTTATGAGCAAATTATGACCAATTACTATTGACTGTTCAATTTCATATGTGTCAATAATACTAAAAAAATATCAAACACCAATTACATTAAGCCACATTAACCAAAATTATATCGTCCACATATCCCACACTCACTAATCACATGCAACAACCATGTCGGACAACATTTAACATGTCAAATGAAGCAATTCTATAATTTAAAAAATCATACATGTCAATTAAATAGGGAATGTCCCATGATTATATTAACAATAATACTATGCTTAATCACGAGTTTTACTAACCGCCTTACTACCTTTGTTAAAATACACGTGGTACCCGTACTATGCGCGGTACTCGTACTATGCATTATATTTACAAAGGATAGTAAGATGGTTAGTAAGATGGTGAGTAAGCATAGGATTACTCTTATATAATATAAGATATAGATAGGTGTGCATAACCTTCATGATTGGATTATTGACCTCTATTAAATCATAATACGTAGAATTTATAATAAAAAATAAATAAAATTCATTCACTAATGAAAATAAGACATTGAGAAGTGAAAACCTATGCAACTCTATGGTAAAATACAGCAGCAATGTGCTCAAAATCTAAAAACAAGGCTCAATACAGCAGCAATGTGCTCAAAATCTAAAAACAAGGCTCCCAATTTCCGCATATAGAAACCTTATACATTTATGGTCTGGAAAGCATGAAACCGTGAAAACGATGAAGACAATGAGAGGCAATTGCATTCAGATGCTGCTTCCATTTGACATGGTCCCATCAGTTGTGGTTTTCGACCCAGTCCTGCAATATTTTTTATTTTATTTTTTATTTTTCAAATCTTTTAGAATAAAAGGCCTATTCAAATGGGAAGTTTAATCAAGTCCAAGATGAAATTTCAATGTACCGGAAGGGTGCTTGGCATTGTTGGTGTAGTGGAAGAATCAGGTGTTTCGTTGAAGAATCGTAGGCTCACAGGAGAACTTCCGGACCATTAGCACTGAGACATTTAAAACATAACAAAATTCATTAAATTCTGCTTTTTTTTGTTTGTTTATTGTGTTGAGTTATTAAGTTGAACGTACCATTGCAGCGGCTAACTAGTGGTGTCTGCACGTTACAGGCTCCCGGTAGTGACATAACGAGAGTTTCGTTCATAGAAATACCAATTGAGAGCCGCCATTGACCTCCGAGCACAGACACTGCGGCTGTTGCTGGACGAACCTGGCGAGCTGCGTGCAGCAGGAAGATGATGGGTTGAGGAATTCCAGTGATCTGGTTTACGCATGGTGATAAACTAATGAGGGCGCCCGTGCAGCCTGAGCCTGAGAGCTGCAGCTCATGATGACAAAGGAACATTGTCACCAGGACCAGGCCCAGACCCAATTTAATCCCTTCAGAGCCATTTGTTGTTAATTGCTGGAGTTTTTTGGGTGCAAATGCTGGTAATTCTGAGAGGTGGTTTGATTACTTATGCAAAGGGAGGCATGCAAAAATCAAATTTATAGTGACCCTAGTTGGAAAGAGTCCATAATATTAGTTGTATTTGGGTGGCCAACTTGACTTTTCCTGAATTGGGAATTACTAAAGTAGATGACTTAAAACTACTAGGGGGAGATGATGAAATTAGTCCATAATGTTCGGGAGATGAAATTCTGGCCGTTAGCATCATCAAAAACATAATTCAGACTAATATTATAGGGAGTTCATGAGCCATTTAAGTTATTTGGGTGGCCAAACTCTGAGGGTGGTTAATAATTCAGACTAACTTTTCTATTTGATTCTTCAAATTTCAGAGTTCTGATTTGTTAAGTAATGATCCTAACAAACCATTTGAAGTTATAAAGCGGGTTCTTGTTGTTAAGTTTGATGTATCTGATTAGTTTGAATATAATATAACTAAATTAGTTGTAGTCTACGTGATACATTTAGACAAATAAACTGTCGAGAGTCGCTTGAATATTTAAAATTAAAAATTATTGTAGTTATGTAATTACAAATAAACAGTAGAGAGCTCGTATAAGAGTTGGTATGACCACCCCTGCTACGGAAGACTTGATTATGTATATAATTTTCGAAGTTAGCTTCCATAAGTTATCGACCCTTTGATTAAATCTTCATTTGTAGATATTTATTATAAATAAACAATAAAATTCATTCTCTAATAACAATAATAAGATACATTCATTAACAACTGACAACCCAATACAACTCAAGTCGGTAAATTATAACTGGAATGTGCTCAAAGTTAAAAACAAGTCCTGTTTCGCCCATATAGAAACCTTATGCTTTTATGGCCCGGAAAAGCACGAAACCATGAAAACGATGAAGACAGTGAGAGGCAATGGCATTCTGATGCTGCTTCTATTGACTGTTCCATCAGCTATACTTTTAGACCCAGTTCCTGCTTTTTACTTTTTATTTTTCAAATTTCTTTTAGAATAAAAGGCCTATTGAAATCGGAAGTTCAGTTAAATCCATAATGAAAAAATTCAATGTACTGAAGGGCTGCTTGGCAATGTCGGTGTAGTGGAAGTATCAGGGGTGGCTCTGAAGAATCCGAAGGAGGAATCGCTGGAGCACTTGCTGGACCATTAGCACCTGACGAAATACAAAAAAAATTCATTGATCTTTTTTTTTTTTTTTTTTTTTTTTTGAGTTAATTAAGTGTATGTTTAGTTTGTTGAACGTACCATGCAGCGGCACCGGTGGTGTCTGCAGTTACAGGCCCCAGGGAGCGACATAGCGAGAGTTTGGTTAAGGTAATACCAACTGCGAGGCGCCACCATTGAGTACCGAGCATGACAATTGGGCTGCTGCTGAACGACACTGGCGAGCTGTGTGCAGCAGGAGGACGACGGGGTTGAGGAGTTTCCAGTGATGTAGTTTAGGCATGGAGATAAAGACGAGAGCGGGCGTGCAGCCTGAGCTAGATTGAGCTTCAGCTTCATGATGACAAAGCAACATGTCACGAGGACCAGGACCAGACCCAAATCAATACCTTCAGAGCCATTTGCTGGTGTTCTGGGAGGAAGTACTGGTGTGATCTGAGAAATGGTTTGCTTAATTATGCAAAGGGAGGCATGCAAATGCAAATTTATAATGGGCCTAGATTGAAAGTCCATAGTATTAGTTGTATTTGGGTGGCCAACTTGACTTTCCTGAAGAGCGAATTTTTCAAGTAGATTAGACTTAAGATTCCAGTTACTTAAAATGTCTTCTAATAAGATGAAATTTCTGGCAGTTTGCATCAATGTGTGAAACTACTAGGTGGGGGAGTTTGATTGGTTTGAATTCCAGCGACAAGTAAAGGAAAGACATGTGGCTTATGGAGGAGCCAATGAGCCCATTTAGATAAGTTATTTTGGGTGGCCAAACCATTGGGGGTGGTTAAATAATTCAGAAGTAAAATATTCATATGGAATTATAAAATGGGTTCATGTCCTTAGGTTTGGTATATTTGATTAGCTGCATCTTTTCTTGTCAGCATCTCCATGTTTCTGTAGTTGACCCTCTACCCTTTCATGTAGGAGAAAGAGAGATAAGATAATTTTATATTTTTATTCATAAACCAAGCATGAAAACAATAACGAAAGAAGCCTAATCAACTCATAAATGATATAAAATTCCGAAAATACTAATCCTAAAAACTATCCTATTCCTCTTACATCACCTTTTATGCCATATTTTTTTTTTTTCCATTTCCGTTATGCCATCAGAAGACCAGACATGGACATTTTTGTTAGATTATCAGTACCCTGAAGACGAAGACAATACTCTACTTAGCTTCACTATCACTACGATTCAAGCATGAGCATTTCATCTCAAGGTTTTTAACAGTGCAGCAGATTTTTCTCCTCAGTCAATGATAATTTGTCCTTGAAGTTTTAAGGTGTCATTCTGGATTTTGTTGCAATGAACCATTCAAGTCTCTGAAAGCACTTACAGGTTCTTTTGATTTAAGCACTTTCTCTAAAAGGGTCTGAAAATTTCTATATTTTGCATGGGTGGAACAGAGGAAATTAAACCTAAATGTTAAATAGAATCAATATAGAAACGGGATTCGGTATCATTAAAATCTCTGCACATGTTTATTTATATAGTTCAATTCTGTCATGTTGCTTTTAATTGTTCATTGCCATAATTGGTAGATGAAATTCTGAAACCAATTGGCAAATGGTTGAAGATTTTTAGTTATGAGCTGTTTCCACTTTCCAGAGAAAAGGAAATTAAGGGAGGGAAGTTGACCAATTGATCTGTTAGCTTTTATGAAAGAATCAATAGAGAAGCCAATACTCATTCATCGTTTATTAAACAACCCAGATAATAATACAAAAACCACACTTCTGTAATCAGAAATCAGAATCATCCTCAAGCAAAAACTGGAAAAAGAATAAATGGTATTTGTTCACTAGTACAACAACAGGCTAAAAAGTCTTAGCAGAAGACTCAGAATTTGGCGATCATAGATGCGATTATGAGAAGGAAGAGAACAAAATGAATAGGTACTCTTCTGATGCCTCCATCAGATGAATCTTGTGTTGTTGATTTAGACCCCGATCCTGCAATTGCCCAAAAAGTACGTCAATTTGCATTCTTTACCATAAATAGTAGTTCTCGCGTCCTACGTTATTTTTGTCAGGAGTGAAATGACATTTTACAACTCATATATATATACACAATCCTGACAAAAATATATTAGGATGTACTGACTAGAGAAAATATGGTGTTTCTTATGTTTGTGCCATACCTGAGGCTGGTGGCGTAATTGTATTTGAAGAGCCTGAAGGAGGGCTAATCGTTGTTGGAGAATCTGAAGAAGGGCTAATCGTTGTTGGAGAATCTGAAGAAGGGCTTATCGTTGTTGGAGAATCTGTAGGTGAAGCTGCAGGTGCAATGGCTTCTGGTAAAAGCAAATCAAAATCCAGTTAATGTTAACAAACTTTCACCTGTTTGAACTCAAAAAAGGGTGATCAATTATGAACTAATTAAAGTTGAACATACGTTTACAATTATTAAATGAAGGAGTTTGAACTTGACAGGCACCAGGAAGAGTCAGAGCAATAGTTCGATTAATATTGATCCCCATTGAAGGAATACTACCGTTGAGAGCAGCGCAAAGGCAATCCGGGGAAGATTTTACGACGGCACCGAGCTGAGAGCAGCAAGAAGTTGAAGGAGTGGATGAGTTTGCCATCAGGTAGTTGAGGCAAGGCGCCATGGTGGCGAGCACATTGCTGCAGTTTGAGTTTGACTGAGCCGTGGCCCCACCCCAAAAGAGGGCCGCCAGGATCAGGATTAGAGCCATCTCGAGCACTCTGGAAGCCATGAAAATGAAGAGAATTGCTTGTAAAGTTGGGTTTGTTGGTTGGGAGATTGGGAGATTTGAGTGTTGGAGTTGGTAAAAAGGATGGGAAGAGATGGGATTATATAAGGAAAGTTTTTTGAGAGGTGACAAAGAGACTGGTACTTTTGGATGAACAACTTTTATTAAACTAAGGTTTGCTTTATAACTAAACAGATTCTTGTAGTGTGCGTGTTATTTATTTGGTGTAAATTATTACATTTTTATTGCTTAAGGATTTGCTCTGTATAATACTATTGTTGGAGTCCTCTTTTTAAAACAATAATATATCTTATATATATAACTCATTACCAATTTACCTGTCTAAAATCAATTGATATGAAATACACTCAAAAAGCGTTTGGTTCAAAGAATGTTGTATTACTGGAAATGTTATATTAATAGGAAAATAGCCTACCTTAAAGATTATTATAAATATTATATTAAATATGTTTGGTTAGATGAGAATAAATTTATGGGTATGTTATATTGATATGTTTATTTGAGAAAAATAATTGGGTGAGTATGTTATATAAATTACTGAATTACTCTTCTTTTTTAATATTATTATTATTTGGACTATTTTTTTAACCCCCTATATTTGAGATTTTGCTAAAACACCCTAGCCAGTAGCTAGAATAAAAGTACAAATTTTAACAAAATCACCCCCACCCACCCAAGCCACTGCTAGTCTAAACAGCACACCACCGGCCGGTTACGGTCGGTCGTGCGCCGATCTAGCCATTTCCAGCCAAAATAAAAACTAATTGCCTATTAATATTTTTGTTCATTAATATTTTTTTTAGGGTGGGTCAAAATCTAAAATTTATAAATATTAGTATTTAAAAAAAAAAAAAAATTTGAGGGTTGGCCAAAGTGGGCTGGATCCGCCCCTAAATAGAACTATGAGTTCTACTAGTTTAGGAGTTTGAGTAAACATGAAAGTTGTATAACTTATCCAAGTTCTATTAGGAGTTTTAATTCATTTCAGATTCTGAATCTTGGATGAGTTAAAAAGTGTGTACTCGGAGTCTTATTCTGGAATAGTCATGGGCCAATGGGCTGGAGCCCAATTAGGCTTAGGGCAAGGCCCAAGTCATTGGGGATTAGAATAATCCCACTCGTTTAAGTGGCCCAATTCGTGTAATGGACTGACTCATAGTGTGAATTCAAGCATAGGCCTAATGGGAATTAGCCATGGCACGGGGCCATGTAATGATTATTTCATGTTTGGGCCTAACAAGACCTGTTATGATTTTTTGCCCGTAGAGCTGTCATGTTGCTTTAAATTGTTCATTGCCATTGGTAGTGTGTGCTCCAATTTCATTCATGATTAGGTTAATATTTGGAAAACTCAAGTGTCTTGCCTTGTAGAGAAATTCTAAAACCAGTAAACAAAATGGTTGAAAGAAACTAATAGAGAAGCCAATATTCATTGATCTTTTATTAAACAACCCCGATAAATAATAATACAAAAACCACAATTCTCTAATCAATAATGAGCATCATCCTCAAACGGAAACTGGAAAAGAATATTGTTATTTGTCAATAATACTACAACAGACTAAAAAAATCTCAGAAGAAGACTCAGAATTTAGCGATTTTTGAAGCACACGATGCGACGAAGAGAAGGAAGAGAACAAAATGAATAGGTGTTCTTCTGATGCCTCCATCAGATGAATCTTGTGTTGTTGATGTAGACGTCGATCCTGCAATTGCCCAACCATTATATCAATTTACATTCTTTACCATAAATAGTTTGTTCTCACGTCCTAATATTAATTTTATCAGGATTATGCTTATAGAATGTTGGATTCATCTTATGGGACTGAAATAGTATTTTACAACACAGATTTAATGGTATATATGTATAATCCTGACAAAATTATATGTCCTTCTGATTCATCTCATGGAACTAAAATGTCTAATGGAAGTATATATGCATGATCCTGGCAAAATTATATAAGATGTCCTAACTAGAGAATAAAATGTGTTAGTTGTTTCTTATGTTTGTACCATACCTGAGGCCGGCGGCGTAGTTGTATTTGCAGAACCTGAAGAAGGGCTTGTCGTTGATGGAGAACCTGGAGGTGAAGCTGCGGGAGTAATGGCTTCTGGTAAAAGAAAATCAAAACCCAGTTAATGTTAACAAACAAATCCCTGGTTTAAACTCAAAAAGGGCCATATATTCTGAGCAAAATTAAAGTTGATCATACGTTTACACTGGTCAATTGAAGAAGTTTGAACTTGACAGGCATCAGGAAGGGAAAGAGCAATGGTTCGGTTAATATTGATCCCCATTGAAGGAACACTGCCGTTGAGAGCAGCGCAAAGGCAATCCGGGGAAGATTTCGCGACGGCTCCGAGCTGAGAGCAGCAAGAATTTGAAGGGGTCGATGAGTTTCCCGTAAGGAAGTTGAGGCAAGGCGCCATGCTTGTGAGCACATCGTTGCAGTTTGAGTTTGACTGAGCCATGACTCCACCCCAAAACATGGCCGCCAGGACCAGGACTAGAGTCATCTGGAGCCCTCTGGAAGCCATGAAAATGATGGGAATTGCTTGTAAAATTGGGTTTGTTGGTTGGGAAATTGGGAGATTTTTGAGTGTTTGGTGTTGGAAAAAGGAAAGGAAGAGAAGGGGTTATATAAGGAAAGGTTTTCTCGAGAAAATTTAAATTTTTTATAGATTGCTTAAGGATTTGTTTGTTTGTTCTTTACATAATTTATTCGTCCAAGATCTATTAACTATGAAACACACCACCAAGATTATTAAAAAGTCTTAAGCCTCTTGAGATTGCTAATAGAATTTAAAAACATTATATTCAATAATTTTAATGATAAAATCATTCTTGAAATAAAATGAAATCTTTTTTTTTTATTGTTGTTTTATTATTTTATATATAGAACATGATTAGAATGGTATTTCAAAGGATCTTGATTTAATTTTGAACTTTTCTCAACTACTCACTAGATTTGCATTTTCTTCATCCCATGCAAAAAATGAAGAAGAATCTTTAGTATTTAAAATGTGAAATAAAACTTTCAAACTAAATGCATGTTCTTCGATCATTTTCTAAATGAATGTAATTTTAAATTGACACAAGTTAAAATATATCCTTAGAATACACGTTATGATCATTAAAAAAATTTCTTTATTTCAAACACTTTATGTGAAAAGACAAAAAAGGAAATTTCCAAAACATTAATATTGAGATATTAGACATTTTTATTAAATACTCAACCTTACATTTAACAATTATCGTACTTTACAACATATAAATTCGAACTATGACACTATTAGAAGTTTATTAATCAAATTCATTAAGGGTTATGGGTTACTTTACAACAATTGATATTTTGTCTGTAATTTCCAATTTAAAAAATCATTAATGGGGTGTACATATAAATTTCGTGAAGCTTCAATAACACCACTCTAGATTTAGATCTAAAAATAAAATTTATATTCCGACAACGAACAAAGAACAAACTCGATCCAGGCTATTGAGATTTTTAAAGAGGGGAGACCGACGAGTCTTTTGGTAGCAGAATGTTAGATTTTGATAACTGAGATTGATCAAAATTTGACTTAGAATTGGCGGTTGCGTAAACCTTAATCGCACGATTGCCAGTGATTGACGAGGTTGGCGAAAGTTGAATTTGAGGGACTTTGATACGTGATGATCGGAGAAGAGAATGTTAGTGGTGGTGTGAGGTCGCAACGATACCAAAATCAGAAACAAAATATAAATTTAGATAATGAAGTGATATTTAAAAAGTTGATGAGTAAAAAAATGTCATCAAGTCATCATTTGGATGAGAACAAGTCATTTACTCCGGTAAAGATGAAAAGTGTCACAATTTATCATTTTTTCCTCTTCATATTTCCCGCTTTTCGTACTCCTTCCTGATTAATTAAATACTTATATTTATTTATATGTTCATCAAATTTGGACGACCGTTCACTCACATGGACGCCCGTCCATATACAAGAGACGGGCGTCCCTATTTAAAGGACGCCCGTCCATAAATAAAATACAATAAAAAAAATTGTAAAACATTATGGACGGTCGTTCATAGGTTGTGGACGACCGTCCCTTAATTTTGGACGAGCGTCCGCAAATACGAGATGCCCGTCCATTAAGTTTGGACGGGCGTCCATAAGGAATGGACGCCCGTCCAAACTTAATTTGTTTTAAAAAATAAAATAAAAAATTTGGACGGGAATGGACGCCCGTCCAAATGTAATGGACGGGCGTCCATAATGTTTTGTACATTTTTTTGTTATATTTTATTTATGGACAGACGTCCTTTAAATGGGGACGTCTGTCCCTTGTATATGGACGCCCGTCTATATAATATGAACAGGCGTCCATGTGAGTGAACGATCGTCCAAATTTGATGGACGGCCGTTCACTATAAAAAAATTATAAAAAAATTCAGACGCGCATTACAGTAGGCCGGTACAGAATTTCGGTGTAATTTTTTCGGTGTCCGTAGTGTTATTGATATTTAAAAATAAAACAAATTCTACCATACTTAAAGTATAGATACTATATTATACTTGAAAAAATTACAAAATGTGAAACTAAACTTATAATGATATGAACTATGCTACTTGTTATGTGTAATATAAAAGTTTCAAAATTATTAATTGAATTAAATTCAATTATGAATGAATATGTTAAAGTTCATTAATTAAATCTTAGTTTTAATTAACAGTATTAGAATTAAAAATTTTGAAGATTAATTGTAGTTTTATATCAAACATAAACTTATACAATATTTTAAACACATGTAGAGATGATAAAATATTTCATTTACTATTTATGAAAATAAAAATAAAAAAGCAAAGAAATTAAATTTCTTGAAGGGCATAATTGCAAATAAAAAAAATCCTATATTTGAAAGGGAAGATGGATGATCATTGATCACCTTTATAATTCTAATTTAGAAACAATTTTTTGGTAGAATTAAAATGTTAAGCTTTTAACTTAAAATTTTCAAAATTCAAGGGGGCACGTGCCCCCCTTGT